TAGAGGCTGCCATGCGCCTGTCGCGCGGTACCCGGTGCGTGGCCCCATCGTGCCCTGCCCCTCCCCCTCCCGCCCAGGTTCCGGCAGCTGGTGGCAGAGCACGAGCCCGAGGTGCAGGAGGTGTCCCGGCTCTTCCGCTCGGTGCTGCAGGAAGTCCTGGAGAGGATGAAGCAGGAGGAGGAGGCCCACAGGCTGACGCGGCAGTGGAGTCTGCGGCCCCGCGGCGGCCTGGCCACCTTCAAGACCCGCGCGCGCATCTCCCCGTTCGCCAGCGACATCCGGACCATCTCCGAGGACGTGGAGCGGGACACGCAGCCGCCGCCCCGGACCTGGAGCATGCCCGAGTTCCGGGCGCCTCAAACCGACTGACCCCTACCACGCCCCTGCTCAGGAGCTGAGCCACCTGCAGGAGGGCATGATGGGCTGGTGACCTGGTCGCTGGGTCCTGGAACCTCCCCACCCACCCCTGATGAGGAGAACAAAGAGGCGACCCCATCCCAAGACACTACTGTAAGATGGAGCAACCTCTCCCCCCACCCCTCTTCCTCTGGCCATAAGGCCGAGCTGGGGCTTGGAGCTGCGTGGGGCCCTCTCTCTCCTGCGCAAGTCTGTTGGAGCAGCCGCTTCCCTGACTGACAGATTCAGGGTCTTGGCAGACAGACCACGGCCGCGTCCGCATCTCCTGCTTCTGCCGGGAAGGGGGAGAGTAGCCCTGCCTTTTTGCAAGACCTGAGTTCCCACCCCAACTTCAGGGATGTCCCACTCACCCTGCTCCGTGGGTAATAAGAGGCCTGTTGGGTGGTGTCCAGTCTCTGCTGGCGACTGGCTGATCTCACCCCTGCAGGTGGGTCACAGCCGCATGGGCAGGCAGAGCTGGAAGGGACCAGGGAGACTATTAGATCCACTCTCTCCAGCTAATCAGTGGGGAAACTGAGGCTCAGAGAGGGACACACTTCTTCCACCTTAATGTAGCCAGGTCTCTATGGGCAGTGAGATTGTCCCTGCACCAATAGCCTCTGCCCCTGAGTCCTTGAGTTTTGGGCTATGATGGGACAGGACCAAAGGCTACATCTCTACCTACTTGTGGTCT